GTACTGCCTTAAACGAAGGTACTGAAACAGTGCCGCTATCCTCGGAATATTGCTAGCCCACCTGGTGAATAACGGAACCACCTCTATCATGAAATCTGCCGACAAGTTCAAAGTTGGTCTCATATACAACTGGAAATGTCACAATTATGGTGTACTTGCCGCTGAATTTGAAGTTTTATGGACTTTTAAACACTCTATGAATCATTTACTTACAATTACTGTTCATTCCGCATCTCTTATATTTCACGCCAGCACCTGTACAAAAATGCTACTTACCTTCCACAATTAACGTAATCGTTTATAATTCCCGCGTGAAATTGACATACCGTATTTTTTTCAATTACAGTTTTGATTTGATGCTATTTCTCATGAATTATTCAGTTGAAAGCATATCTCGAAAATTACCTATTGCCTTATTTGTACATTTCTTTTTAAATATTTCTCTCAAATTTACCAGTATTCAATCTATTTCTAGAATAACAAATCATATATATTCTATAAGTTCTAATTAGTGTACATTTGTTCATGCCTGTAAAAATGGCTGGTTTCTGTTCCAGAAATAAAAATTATTATTATTATTAGAAGACGGAGATTATCTGAAAAATGTGATGTATTAGCGCTATACATTTCGAACAATCTGATCACACATTTACTTGTCAAGTCAATATATATGGAGAGGTTAAATTAAACAAGGTGACAGAAAAAGAATTAAGAATAATTAACAGAAACGTTTGGTAATCCAATCAAATAAGGATTACCAAGGTAGGTTAAGAGTAATAACAAACTGTTTTTGAATACACAAGGGGGGCTTAAGTTTATGAATGGCTATAGCCTCAGCGTATTTCAGTAAACGTCCTTGACGGTTTTTACAGATGACCTTAAAGGCTGAGTTAACACCAACCTTATGGTTCATCTCGATTAAATGTTTAGCTATAGACGAAGTTGGTAGTCTGGCACCTGCATCTATTGGCTTGTCACAATTCATCTGTTTTCCTAACCACTTTGGGATATGCTCTCCCACCCTCACGTGCAACGCGCGATTACTCCTCCCTATGTATATATGTCCACACACACACGAAAATTGGTAAATTGTATGGGATGTGATATAATCACTTGTGCACTTTTGAGGTTTCCAGTGAAGCATATTTTTAGCCTTTTCGACAATTACAAGCTGGGCTGCATAGTAGGTTCTACGGATGATGGAATTCAACCTTTGTCTCAAAATCCTACTATTTATTTCCCCAATGTATGGTAATTTGATGAAAACCTTTTTCTTAGGGACGGTATGGATTGTAGGTTTAGAGGCTAGTTGACTTCTACACCTGTTTAAAAACTTCAAAGGATATCCGTTTTCAACAAGAGTATCCATCAATATTTCGTTTTCCTTGTCTATAACTTCAGCCGTATAACTCCCAAATGAGGCGTGCTGTCTAGCCCCACCTTCGATATACCTTTGTTCGTCTGAGGCTGACCTCTTTGATATGGAGAAAACTGGGGGTTGAGGTGCCCACATCGTATGAGTAGTTGATCGCCTAACCACAGAAGTCCGGTGGTTACTTTTTGTTAGATTTGAAAATTATATTTATTTATTTGTTCCTGTTTATGCAGGAACATACCAATTGTACAGGCATGGATAAGTTATTATATAAATTACACATGTTTCGATGTATGTTGAATTTACAGTTTGTTTGTTCCTTCTGACATTAGAGTCAGTCGGAACAGTCTGCAAAATAGTCTGTCTGTGTAACACATAAAGAGATATAGAAATATTGTCTTCGCATTAACAAAAAATTTGGCTAGTATTTCCAGGAACCTTTTGATCTGTACTGGCGGAGATCGAATCAGATTTATTCGATGGTGATCTCTCACTTTGCATTTCATATACCTGAACGTTCGCCTCACTGTTACTCGTCTCCTCCTGGCATCCAGTAGGAATTATATTTCGAGGATTGCTTGGTCTGGGTCGGACGCGATGAAAAACCCCAGAAGCTGTCACTGAAACACTATCTCAGGTGTCTATATTTTCCTTCTTAAAACCGGGATGTGCAGCCTGCAGTATGATGGCAGACCTTTGCCATTCCTTCCCTGGCCTTTGCTCTACGTATACTACTGAGCACAGCTCCTAAAACAGTGAGGAGGTGTACACCCGACTCCTTATCATTGACATGAAGTAATCAACTCTCCGGAAGCCCTTCCTCAGGTAACGACTAACAATGGGGGGTCACTCATTTCCCTGCTGCCTTTGAGGCGGCGAACGAACTAGATTTTTTGTACACTTCAGTTGTGAATAAACTGCGATCGTGCCCTTGAGCTCCGGACTGCATTCGATAGGCCATGGACTACGTCTCCTGTAATAACCATATTAAAGGGCTTGTGCTTTATTAGTTTATGAAACCAATCAGCTAGAATAGTAGACTAATGTCATTATAGCTGGGGAAAATAGGGACAGGCTAACCGTAGTAATTTCAGATATTATTTCAGATGGTCAAGTTGAAAACGAGATGCAGTCCATTTGATTAGCTTACTGAAGTCGGATGGTGTCTGTTGACACAGTGCTGTTAATAGCTAGACATATCTTCCTAAGTCCGGTGCTTCCATCATGTAAAGTACTATGACAAACACCTTGAAAATAAATGTGGGTTGAGTAAACGTGCCAACTGCGGTGATATTAAAAGCACTTGGGGAATTTGGTGGCAAAAAGAAAGGTGCAGACAAGCTCCTTTGAATGGTGGCCAGGTATTAGAGTATTGGACCGTGAGAAATCATATCAAAAGGAGTCAGAAAACGGCGATGGTCTGTAGTGGGTGGTTTAAGATCTGAGTATTTAAACTTCTCGAACAATGGAGGAATTATGCCAGGCCCTAGATTTTTGAAGAAATTTAGAAATTGGTTCCACTTCTAATAACTTTAGTCGTGAGAGTAATATTCGACAGATCGGTGTTTACAAGAATATTTACGTATTACAGTGAAGAATATTTAAGGTGTACAAGAATCTTAGTTTTACGTTGCTGTGTACACCTGGCCACAATTGCGAAACCTATTTTTCCTGGTAGCTGCTTCGTTAGCGGTTGTCCAACATGTGCATCTACCAATTCACCTACTCGTGTGGAGCCAGGTATATTGGCCGTACTCAGCGTTCGCTATCCAAACGCGTCAACGAACATTTACCTTCATGGTTTTATAAAGGAGAAAACCGATGCCCCCGCAGCTCGATCCTTGAACATTTGATCGACTCTGGACACCAAGTCAAACCAGAAATAAACTTCAAAGTTATCTACAGAATACACGGCAATCTTGCTAAAAGTGTACGGATCAAACTTCTCCACATCTCAGAAGCAATGGCAATTCATCTGCTAAATCCTGAACTCTGCATACAAAAGAAATTCGTTCATTAAATCTACAATGGACGTAATCTTTCTTAATTTCAGTTATACTAATTGTATTATTTTGTCTCTTGCATTTTATTATTTCACATCTTCATTTGTACTATTCTCTACCCCACCCTTTTGTAATCTCTACCCTCATTAACAATGTTACTAACTTGACCCACGTACAATTTCTAGTCAACTGCGTTGCATCATCCGGTCAACTTACTTATTTTCAATTGTATTATTCTCTAACCCCACCCTTATTTGATTTTAAACACCACTCATTAACACTGTTGCCAACCTGACCTAATCTGAATTCTACTCACTTAATCAATTCTATTTTATTTTCCATCTTAACGTTTGTTTCCAAGCCAAACATACTTATATTACATAATTATCTAAACTTTATAAATCTAATGTACACACACAAACAAAATAGTGTAAATATGCGATTGTACAGCTCAGTGAATGAATTCGCCGAAAAGAGTCTCTTCGCTGAACGCCTTCTTTTATTTTATACAACATAAAAATACAGAAATAAAAAAAGAAAATACACAAATATGTGAAATAGGCATGAAAAGTAATATATTGAAATAGAATGGAGTCTTAAATAATTTTAAGGCAAACGTTTTGCAACTTATCTGGCCTGTATGAGTGAACCAGGGACTTTGAGGATGTGCTTCAGAATCAGCTTGGAGAGGGACGCGTGCCTGTTAAAACAAAATATAAAAACCAAGGGCATCTTCAGGTGGGATGGCAGTTTACTCAGTTAATGTTCTCTACATAAGTTTAATCTGTTTAATTTAGACGAAGTCATATTTCTGTCGCACAGTTATATCTACCTTGCTATCCACATTGTTGTGGGGATATGTAGAGTATTACAGAAAGCAATTTTTGTGATGGGTCGAAAATCTTCACAAGAAGGGCTAGTTTCCCACATATTTTTGCTAGTTATTAAAGTAGAGTTAATGCCAGTGTTTCACGTACTATACAACTTTGTAGTAAAAGAGGGAAATAAGTCACATAACTTAATGAGAAGACTGTAGTTTGAATCATACAGACTTTCAGGAATAGTAGATGTTAGGCCTATAGTAATCCCTCAGATCCGCCATGAATTTGAAGTCCAACCGTGCTTTGAATAAATTGACTGAATTTGTCAATATGGAGTATTCCTCTACAGCAATACGCCGGTTCAAAATATGATGCGAGAGACGAACCTCTAAACGTAGGCAGTTCAACAGTGAATTTTTAATTTTAAGGCCTAAATTGAGGTAGGCAGTTTTCATAAGTTGTGATGTTAGTATTGCTTATATACTTACGCGCTTCACTTTAATTCCTTATAGCAGAAGAAAATGTTAAGACAAAGGCTGACCGGTGCAGCATCATGATGACTTTAGGAGGTTTAAACTAAAGATTTACTAACACTCAGGTTAACATGGTAAGACGCAATGACTCAAGACACTACGGCTGTACCATTTATTAGCCCAAATTTATCAGTTTCTACCTACAAACTGCATTTCTGTACATATAGGAGAGACAATTTTATTCAGACATTACTCAGAATGTTACGGTCCTTAGGAATTGAGACTAACAAGTTAGCAATTGACAAATCAGAAGACAAAGCAATAAAACAAGCAGAGAAATGAAGAAAAAGCAGAAAAATACAACACAGTTTCACACGACACATCTTATTGTGTACTTCGCAGTTTGTTTGCATCGATCAAGTATTCATCCTTCACACCTGTAGACTCTGTTACACTTTCAAACACTTTTGCTGTTATCCTGGTTTTCCTATTGATCGTACATATACAGTTTGTCAAATGCTCAAATGTTATGTTCACCGATAATAACTTTCCGTGTATTTTGATTTTTCTCTGGACTCAACATTTTTAAATAATTACTGATCAGCAGATATGTTATATCGCACAAAGCACAAAAGAAAGAGGTTCAGACTTTCGGAGGATTTATCAGGAATTTGCATACTGATGATTTTATATACTCTTCAGGTAAGTATGCACGTTTTCTGTCATAATAATGATTTTTTGATGAGATGAATGATAGCTGAATGCAAAATTTACCAATAACGAATTGTAAATCATTTAAAAAATTAATATTAGAATCTGCTCAAAGCATGTTTGTGTGTGAAAAAAAATTATGGAAATAGATTATTGATTGACGATAATATGTTGATTTGACTAACACATGTTTGTGATGTGTGGAATGAACGCCCAGCAATTGATATCAGCATTCCCTTTCAGTGCTTTTGGAATCTTGGGATTTAGCACATTATGGTCTAAAGAACTTTGTCAGTATTAACAGTGATGAAATGTTATGGTTTCTATTATAGATCTTCCAGTAGAAGAGCAAGACTGATTCATTTACTTGATATAAATGGTTTTAGATAAATCAGTATTTTTGCCGTGACAGTTATATTACACGCTGTGGTAGAATGTTAGTAATTGAAATGTTCGTTCATGTCATACTAGAACCTCAAGCAGATCATAGATAGCTCACAACTCAAGTTACCCTGGAAACAAAGTTTCAGACGTAGGTTGGTTAAAGACTAGACACAACCGCACCTGCAGTAATGTCATTCTTGAGTCCGTTTTTCAAGGAATATAATTTCTAGCCTAAATATTCAGCCCAATGAAAACTTATGTGGATGTGAACAGATGTTGAGACTAATTTGGAACCTTTTGTGCCTATGCCATCTAAACTCGGGTTCAAGCAGACAAGTAGGAGTTTAAACAGAGTTGTTATCTGAAGTGATGACAACCAGTGCTGTCCTTTACAGATACCCACTGTCACCCAGCTACTTAGAGAATGATCTTGTAGTGTTTGGATAATATAGTCTCCCTGGTGAAGATACTGATAAAATGAAGGGTCTTCTGAACACCTTCAGTAGAAATCTTCGAATGTTCGGTCCAAGTCAGATGTAACATGGTGATGCAGGGGTGAACTATACTGTATCCTAGCCTAAAGGTAGGGAGTGAAGCTGTAGAGTGTGTTGACCAATTCACTTATTTTGAAATTTGCATCGGCTCCAACAGGCTGGTCGCTGACGAAATCTCAGCACGGATACAAAAGGTTCGTGTGGCGTTTGCCAACTTATGTCACCTCTGTTGTAGACGCGATTTCCTACCATTATATACTGCGTAGCAGTTCGCTCCTTCCTTCTTAATGGCTGTGAGATATGACTACTGAAACTGGAAGATATGAAAAAGCCAACTCTCTTCGACCACAACTATTTTCATCCCATGTCACACATAAAGTGGTATTATGTGGTGAGTAATATTGAGGTTAGGCATCGAGTAGTAGGTCAGGACTGCAAGCGAATCGATGAAGACGTGAATTTACATGAATCAAGATGACTGGGTCGTGTGTTGTGCATTTCCAGCCACTGCTTTCACCATCGATCAATATTAACTGACATATGATTAAGCTGGAAAAGAGCTAGTGTTGGTTTTATGAAAACATATAGTGAGTCCATGAAGTCGCTGACAGTAAGCGCCATCCATGTAGAGTGGTGTGGACTGCTTGGTTGGGGTCACCGGAATTCTAAGAACCAATGGCTGGGGCCTATTTGTAATATGGCTTAAAATCGATCTTAGTAACGCAGGTGCATTTACTGCTTTCGCTAGTCTTTCATATCCATTGAAACCTAATGGTTTTACATGTTGCTATTCTTTCTCCTAAGATTTTCCACTTATCATGTTCCTTTTGAATCCACTTTTCTATGTTTCACGTTCCTTTGCGTGATACATGGAGTTTGACGACTTTAAGTGCTGCATTTCTGTGTTAAGTACTATGTTGAAACTCAATCAGTTCATCCTTGTGTTTATATTTACCCGAAGAGAATGGCTGATGATAGGATTTAATGTGAAGAACTGCTGTCCCTCTTGTCTAACATTTTGAGTTAAGTAACATTAAATTTTGCATTTGCCACTGTAATCACAAATTAGGTGAGTGTAATAGTGTCTAGTCATTTGCTCACTGGTGAAATGACTTCCTGTATATTTCGAATAGAGAGAGATAAATGTTAAGACACATTTACTTACTCTGCCAAGCAGAAATTTACATACTGTTCATTCACAAGACACTTGAGAATAATTCACGATGACTAAGGTGAAATGATTACGCAGTTATCATCTAGGCATCATATATCAGATGGCAGAGAACTGGGTTAGTTATCAGGAGGCTTTTGCTTCCTATCCTGCAGCCACCCAGACTTTGAATTCATCTTGTAAAGGTCTGCATCAAAAGGTTGTATATATTTCATATAACTTCGCAACATGCTGGTTAGAGCTTCTTGACGTCGGTGGCACAGTGGTTAGGACTCTCGCCAACCATGCACATGGTCCGAGGTTCGATCCCCTGCCGGCGCACACCCGATATCTATGGTCGGCCTGAATTTGGGCTACCGATATCCATGCTGAAAATTCCATACTTGTACTGAAAATACGGTGTGGAATCAAGCTGTAAATCAAAATCAAAATCAAAAACTTTTGGTCTTCTGAGGAAGAATAGAAGGCACACCCTTCCTTGCATGATTAACTCAACAAAACCATTATCAAAGTTCTCAAGTCTGATTTGTGTATATGTACATATTTATTCATACAAGCATAAGCTCTCTTCAAGGTTCGTATATAACACAGTGTTGAAGAAATACGACTTAGAAGTTATATTTTCTCCGTATAACATCGATGAACACTTTTCTATTGAACGCATTACACACTTTAAAATATAAAAAGTGTTTTTATGACGTGACATATTTGGCAGACAAAAATGTAGTAAGCGTCACATTTCCATTTGTTCGACACACCCTATCACTAGGATTCAATTTTATATATCGAGAATAAAAATAATAATGGTAAATATGGACGGAACCATGATAACAGGTAATTTTTATATTCGTTTTCTAAGCGAGGTAAAATGGTGAGAAGTCAGACATCGAAAAATTAATACCAGCCACTAAGTGATCTAACATAATTGTAAAGCAACTGGACCCCAGTTTACTGAAGTTCTTGCAGTTTTATTGCATTGAATTCTCACCGCAGTGATGAGCTTGAAAAATTGGCACAGAAATTTAGTATGACTTCAAAAATTCCACATCAGTAAGACTTACCGAAGAGATGGCCATTTGCCTTCAAGACAACAACATACAGTTTATTAATTATTTTTTATTTCAGCACTAGTTATCAGCTACCACTTTTGATATCACTGTCACAATGTATAACAGCTGTTAATTATAACTTGAAGAATAGAATTAAATCTGTCCTACAATAACAAATCCATTCAAACAAGAGTCAAAGTGACTGCTCAATTGTCTCTTTTTTTGGAAATGTTACTCTGCTTATCTGTGTTAACAGTGGGGTGCGTTTTGGAGTTCATAATCAACTTCATTTCACACAGCTAAATAATTTTTTACCTGAATCAAATAAGCTGTGGTAAATTTAAATTTTGTAACTGTTTAGTGGTGTTGTTCTCTCTAAGCCTATTGGGGGTCTAAATGAGAAGCTTTCATTGTCCTTCTTGACAACATCTTCAGGGTTAGCTTCAATTCGAATTCCATTTTCAGGCTCCCTCATGAACGATATGCCTAACAACTTCATCAGAACAGAGAGTTATATGATTCATGAGAAGTTTCAGAAACTCACTTCACGTTGAAACACTAGTGCCTGTATATTAAATTATTCAACTCAGAGAACACAACAAACACGAAAAACATTCACTTGAACTACAAATATTCTGTGATAATTTTGTAACTGCGTCTGTACAGTTTTCGAGGATGAAATCGCCGGAAAAATATCTTTGCTGAGCTTCTTGTCCTTTTCCTTCGATTGTCCTGATAGGCATTTTCCGTGACTAGACAATTAAAATAAATTACGATTAAATAATACATTAATGTGATTTTCATTGTACTCAAATACAGACCAACCATCAGTTCATATTATGTAGACAATATTTGTGTCATAGAAAATGAAGGATGACCAACAGTAAGACTAATTTGTATTACATGACACTGAATGATACTGTATCTAGCTGGACACTGAACATTCTTGACTTGATTGAAGTCTTGCACTGTCCGGAGACCATCATTGGAAACTCCCCGAAAAAATGTCAACTAGATCATTATGTAGATCTTTAGAAGACAAAAGAGTTGAGTGAAGAAATATTTACACTTCACAATTAGATCTTCATCTCTGACTCTACTCTAAAATACACAGCCAACTTCAAAATATTACAAAACATTCTGCAAATCTTAATATATATGTGTAAAACTTACGCACTGTGGTACTGAGTAATTCCATATGGAATTCTGCCAATCTAATGGCGTTAAGTTTGTTAACAATAATTAGTCAAGTGGTGGTTTGCAAGGATTTGATTTGATTGGTTACAGGATTTCATCATGAGCTGATATCAGTCATAGAACCACTGGAAAACCTCAGAGTACTGGATAGCTGTTCTGTCAACCTTGTTTGGGACTATTCATCAGTACACAATCACCACAAGGAGTTCGAAACCACGAACTTCTGGTAACAAGGTGAGCTCATAGACCATTCAGCCACTGAAACCCAATCCAATGGCCAGTCAGCCCATGAATTCCAACCTCTTCCTATTCACGACATAGTGCAAAGACTAGCCAGTGTCATCTGTGGCGAGTATTTGTCCTCACACCTGACCTGCTGTACCCTACTGGTTACAACTTCTCACTAAAACCCAGTTAACTACCTGCCTAAATAGAGTCAATGCCTTGTGAGCATCTGTGTGGGTACCGATATAGAGTCCCGTAATAGGACGAAACAGCTGCTTAGTACTACCTACAGGTTTACCAGTTGTTCTCTAACCGATGTCAGCTCATGATGAAATCCTGTAACCAATCAAATCAAATCCTTGCAAACCACCACTTGACTAATTATTGTTAACAAACTTAACGCCATTAGATTGGCAGAATTCCATATGGAATTACTCAGTACCACAGTGCGTAAGTTTTACACATATATAT